GCTTTGCCTCTGGGAGCAGCAAAAGGGCAAACATCCAGGTCCCTAGAGAACCTGAACCAAGAAGGCTCTTAGTCTAAGAGCCTTTCCAGGAAGTTGGCCTCCTTCCCACTTTCCGATGGCGATGCTTAGGAGAGGTGGCCTCCCTGGACAATGTGGAGGACTCCTGCCTTGTGTGAACACCTTTGTTTTTTTGCTTCGCTTGAAAAGAGTCAACCCCCATGTTGAGCTGCGAGCGTGTGCGCAGGATACGGCCCCAGCTTACTTGCTCGCCACCACTGATGGAGTGCTGGCTGCCGTGAACAACCGCTTGGACCGAATTTCGGTTGGACTGGTTGCACTTTGTGGGGGGAGGCGTGTGGGGGGGGGGTGGCTGATAAGAACGCATACGCACGCATCAATAGGGGATCCATCGCGCTTGGGGGCCAGGTTGATTTAGGGCCAACGTGATGGGGTTCTATGTGGTTAACCTTCTGTAGAAGCCCAAAGATCCCAATCGCCATTAAACCAATAGGTTTGATTTACCTCCATTCGTTTTACATCCCACATGCGCCTTTCGTCTAAATTGGCTGTGGGTCAAAACCAATGGTACCATTTTGGGGTAGGTGCACCACCCTTTTAGTCTATTTTAGTGGGGATTGGGATGTTCACTGCGGGTACGATTTGGATTTTGACCCATGGCCAATTGGGTCCTTGCCGTTGAACCCGGGCCTTGGGACTGAGCGCTGGACCGCGGCAAGGACTTTTGGCACGTGGACTGGTCTGAGCCGCTGGTGGGCGAGTGCCTCAATGGGAGCTTCAGCCTGAAATATGGAGATCTGCCGCACCTCGGCGGAACGGGCCAGGGGCCAGTTTCATGGTCCTCGAAAGTAACGTGGTTTCCACTTTGGCTCCCTTTCACACCCCAAGCAAGGTCCTGGAACATTGGGCTGGCGCATGGGTTGCGATCCAGATGTATGGCTTGACTCGCAATTTGCAAATCAAAAGCGGCTGGCAAGAGGGGGCCAGGATTTGCAGCACGCTCACAGCACAGCGTACTTGGTCACCTTGGTTGGTTGTGAGGGCTCTAAATCCAGTAGCCCTCCCCTCTCATTGTGCTTGTTGGGCCGGAATGTACAGAGTTCGAACCCCTTCTTCCGCGTTCCCTGAGATGTATTCGGGGAGTCTCCTTCAACAGTCCAGCCACGTTCTCAAGCGTTGAAGGAGCTTCCGCTTCCGGATGAACTACCAGGCGGGTCGGGCGGACCCCTTCCTTTCGAACAGGCGCGATGTTTGGGTGGAAAACGTCTTGACCCCAGTGAAAGCGAGGAAATGCCGTGTGCGCCACTGCGGCTGTTCTTTTTGCAAAGCCGGCTTCGGGTGTTGCCGCAGCTGAGAGTTCGGCAAGCAGGGTCTGAGGCCAAAGCGGAAGTTGCGACAGCCAGGAGTTGGATTTCTCAAAATGAGGGGCCCATTCTACATTCTACAACGAGGTGGTTGTTTTCCTTTTAGCCATCTTAGATGGGGCTTGTGGGGAGAACACCAGGTTCAGCGGATTCCGCCCTTTCCCATGTTTCCTTCTGGAAAATGAGTCAATCATTGATTCACTTGCCCGAAACCAACCTTTTACCATTTGGTGTTCCCTTTTTGTTCCACTTCCAGCAACCTTTTTTGTTCCACTTCCAGTAAAGGCATTCAACGGTTATCCCGTTCTTTCTGGGGTCCCTTGGGCCACTGAGTTGCTTGATTTGGTCCTTTCATGGTTTCACTCACGGCCCTTTGACCCCGATCTCCAGGCACGCGTTCAGAACATATTCCAGATCTCCGCGGGCTTGATTGCGCCTGGGCATGGCTGGCATGGGACGCGGCAACTGACGTTTTGGCCCGCCATGGGAACGCGGCAAATATCTGAAAGGGTTCCTTCCACGACAAGATTTCAATAACAGCGTGGTTGGTGCACCCTGCCAAATATCTGCAGTTCTTATGGCGCGCGCACGGATCCGGGGATGTAGGTCCTTTCCTATCTGGCCGGGCGAGTTGCGGCCGTCCGGTGTGCAAGGCTCGCGGCCAGCTGTAGTTTCTGTTTGTTCCCGACTTTTTGTGGGCTGCGTATGCCCTTCGGGTCCTTTTTTTTGTGGGAGGTGCCGGGGCTTGATGTACAGTCCTTTTGAGTGTTTGGTCGTTTGGGAGAAGGCCTGCGGTTGGTCTTCAGCACTTGGGGCTCCTTGGGTGCCCATTCTCCATTTTGATCTTGCATTGGAATTTTGGCGTTCCCTGAGGGCTTGGTCGCTTGTCAGCCCCTGCCTTGCGGATGCGGCAGCTGTCACCCCTCACTCTGCTGTCTCGGTGTAGTTCAGTTGGGCCAGGCGGCTGTCAGCCATGGTCGCCAGTGTGGGTCTTCGGAGTCAGTGGCATGCTACAGTGGGGTGGTGCCGGACATCTATGGGGAACCGTGTGCTTTTGGGGGTTGGGCTGGATCACCAGTCGGTCCATTGCCAACCTCGCTGCAGAGCAACCAAGCTTGTGGGACTCTGTGAGGCACTTTTGTAGATACACAATCTGTCCGCAAGCTGAGTGAGTTTGCCCCGCCCTCGCGTTTTCAGGGCTCGCAGCGGTTGCTTTCGTTTTGTTTGGGTAGGTCCTTCATTGTTGGGAAACGCTTGTTGGGGTCCGACAGGGCTCCTTATATTACCTTCGAACACCATGCTGAAAAAGGAACTAAGGGGGACCCCTGCTTGAAGGGAAGCTAGCAGGGAAACAAAAGACAAAGACTGGGAAGGGGGGGCCAGAAACACCTCTCCGAGGTCGGCAACCAGTACTTTGCCTGGGCGGCTTGGCCAGGATTGCTTCATCTTGTTTTCTTGTGGTTCAAAGAGGCACGGCAAGAACCTATTTGACACCTTTGGAATTTGACATTTGCCAAAGGAGGGCGATGTGTTTCTTCTTATTTTGTTCCTTTGGTTGTTGGTGGCTGTTGGCTTTTCTTTTCGCGTAGCATCACCAGCAACATCTCTAGCATCACCAGCTGAAGTTGGCAAGTTTGGGATGAACCTGACACGCACCCCAAGAACCCGCCCGAAACCAAACTCTGCACACACACACACACACACCCTAGACAACCGCAACCCTTCACCGAGCGCTCTACACCGTTCCAAGCCCACCCTAAGCCTTCAACTCTCCTTAAACCAACTAAACCAGCTACTGCTAAACCAACCAACCATGAACAAAACCAACCCTAAACCAGCTAAACTAATCCTAATCAACGCCACCCTAGACAACCTGCCAAGTTGCTGTAAACTGCAGCATGTTGGAAAACCCCCAGCAAAACCCAGAAATGCGGGGGGAAAAAAAAACATCCCTGATGCATTCTGCACCCTTTGTCAAATGACACAAGGAACGCCCTTTGTCGCTGAAGCGTGGGCCATGCGGCCTTATGACATGCGGTTCGTCGTGGTCGTATTATAGGAATCCCTCGCTCCCTGAGTTCCTGGACTTCAAACTTTTTGGAAAAACCATGTTAGTCGCATTGGACTTGTTTTGGCTTCTTCACTCAGGAAGTGAGATCCACAAGAGATGCCTCATAGGCTCATTCCCTAGGGCTTGTAACATGAGCCTCGGCCACACAACACATGTTCTGTTTTGTCTATGGTTCGGGTGGGGCATCGGGAAACGAACTCAAAGTTGCAACCACCAAGGGTTCATCCCTAACCCGTCTTTCCCAGACCCAGGCCGTCTTGGCTATCTTGACTGCTGGTCGTGCAGGGTTTTCCGGGGCCAACCTTTACCAGCATCCGGGGATCATCGTCGAAAGTAAACTTGTTGTTGCAACTCCATTTGCGTGGGAGCTATTGGCTTGGGCTAAGGATAGCCTCAAGTCACTTGGCTGCCGTCCGGAGAGGGGAGGAGGGCGTTTTGGTTGGGCGCGCACAGTATTTCAGCATCTTTCGCTGTCTAAATTGGCACTTTTAGTTCCCCACAAGCTCGGGAAGGCAGGCAGAGCGAGCGAGCGCGCCAGCGAGAAGCCCGTGTGAGACAATCTCGGTTCTCCGCTTGATTTGCTTTCTCACAGCGCCCGGCAACCTCAAAACACCTAGAAACCCACATACCTGGTGTTGATTGTGACTTGGCCACGGCATCTCAGCTACAAGTTGGCTCGCATGGACCTAAGCTTTGCCCTGGGATTCAAACCACTATTAAAACAATGGGGCTCATATAACCAGCATTGTTTGCCCAAGGATTGTCATCATCCAAATTGGGTCAACCTTTCTTGTAACGGGGGTTGAACGCAGCCAGCGGTTTGGGACCAGCGTGCGGTGTCTTCAAGCTAAGGGGCCAATGCACCTCGGGGACCTTCTCCCCTCGTGGGCTTTGGACCTGCGTGCCCTGCCCGGAGGGTTGGCTGTCCAGCGCCGGGGACGGCATCTGCTCGTACATGCGCCTCAGCATCGCCGGAGTACTGACAGGGGCATACAGCGGGTCGCATTGCTTTTCGGAAGGTTGACCAAACATGAAACCAACGTCTGATGGGAGCCTTGTCTTAGAAACCAGGATTACAGCATGGCCTGCACGAAGCCGCAGGCTTGCTGTTGTTGAAGGCCTCTCTTTGTTTCCAAGGAGTGGTCGGATGGTCGGATTCCCTTTGTGTTGTCATGGGGTTTCTCAGGTCCTGGCGCCTCTTCTGCACACGCGTGGCGATCCCCATGGCTCTCTTCCTGGCGCTTCTGGTGGCGGTCATCGGCCAAGGCGCGGAGCTGCGGAGCCCGGATGGGAGGCCTCCCAAGCTGGGGGTGGGGTTTTGGCGCACCCTGGAAACCCCGCGCTCTGGGTGTTCTTGGCATGCGTTTGTTTGTGGTGGTTGCTGTTTGGCTTTTTTTTGTGGGTTTTTGCTGTTCTTGTCTTGTTTGTGTTTCCCCGGTGGTTGTCGTTGTTGCTTTTGTGGCCGGAAGTTCTTGGGGATTCTTGGGAGCATGTTTGTTGGGCCAACTGTTCGGCTCTGTGAATTATTGGCCGGGGGGGCGGGTGCGAAGGCCAAGTGATTTTGCCAACCACGCCGGCGGTTAGGAAGGTGACCATAGTTATACATGAAGCGGGCGGATGGTCATGGCTAGTTAGCTCTGACCACCATACGCCTCGCTTGTAGCTACCTTTGATATTTGCCCTTGAGAAAAGCAACGCCTGGGCTGGAATTCGGAGTCTAGAGTTTGGCCCCTGTCCCCACGCCTGGTCAATATCCGACGGGCGTCGCGTTTTGGAGGCGCTGCTCACTTTTGGGGTGTTACACCCCCACGAGTTGACGCTGCTAGAGGAATCTCTGTGGACGGAATCCTGCAGTTGGCTTGGATAAAGCATGAAACCTGGGAAGGACCAGCTATCAACTTCGTTCATCACAACTGGAGGGCATCGATCTAGGTCCGAGTTTTTAGGGTCTTCACCCTCCGGTTCTACTTTCCAGCGACACGTTCACGTCTTCCAAGGATCCAGCCGGCCATGCTCAGCTAATCCAAGATTTCACGTCACATGAGGCTTTGTCCGTACTTCCTCCTTGGCAGGGTTGTTTTTGAACAACACCTTTTGGTTAAAAGGGGAAAGATGCGGAGCTCTGTTATCCTTGAGTTGGCTTTCGCTGATGATTGTCGAGGCTACGCTCCTGTGCCACCTGCTTCGGCAGAGGCATCGGGTCATTCGGGAGTTGCTTGCAAGTTTCCATGACCTCCAAGTCTATGAATTTTGCTCTCTAAACATTCAAGGTTCTTTACATGATGCATACAAAAAACAACTCTCTTTTTTCCGGGGATATCTCTAAACCAACTGGTTGAGGTTTTTTCCCCCGACCAAATGTATCCTTTCAAAAGCCCTGAATTTCATGGAAGTTAACAGGGCCCTTTTCGAAGAGAGACGACGTCTTCCAAAAGGGGGTTGTGACACAATGGTAGGTGGGCAACACGTGGAGGATAATTGTCGGCAGAGCGAGGCGGGCTCAAATCCAACTACGTTTTCTGATGTCCGTCTTTACATTTCAAGTTCATCCTCGCGGGCTGCCATTGAGGGCTCCAAAGGAAGAATGCTGGGTGCTATGAGCCATGTTTTTCGCTTTAATTTGCCCAAAGGGAAAGCACAAGGGGATGGGTATTTTCTTTCCAGACCTATCGCACCTGGAAGAAGGGTGCGAGTGTATGGGGGACTTACTTGCCCATTGGCCCACTTTTAGTGAAGGTCGCCTGTTTTTTCTGAGTCCCGAAAGGGCAACGGGAAGATATACCACGCAACAAGTAGCCAATGGTGTGGTTACCTTGGTCACATGTTCGGGATGGGTTGGCGCCCATGTGTCCTTTTCTAAGGGATCACCTTTCTGGTTGGTTTCAAAGGGGAATGCAAGGAAAACCATTTTGTGGGTCCGTAACAAAACAAAAGCACACACACATACACACCCATATTTTGCGTCTTTGTGCAGATTGATTTCACACGATGCGTTTCATCAAGCCTTCTGCGTGTTTGCCTTCTTTCAGCTTCCTTTCCCCAAACCACACCCAATGCCAGCTTGATCGCGAGCTCACCCATAATAAATTAAACGAGCTCGCCATGTAGGCCCTTTACTGCAGGTTTTGGAACTATGGGGCATATCACGGTCTCTGAGTAGCAACCCCTTTTTATGCATGGACTCAGACAAACGCCAAATGCTGATGTTCCGCTCTGGACTCCTAGTAGAAGCGAATCCCTTTGGGAGACTTCTTCGTGTGAGTTTATTTTTTCCGTCGGATGAATCCGGAGGACCGTATTAATGCGAGGGAGGCTCCCAAACTGAATTGATCCCCTGCCAACAGCAAATTGCTCAGTATCATCTCTCGGATTCAGCGGTTTCTTCGTACTATTTTTTTGGGTTTTGTTTTTTTATTTTTTTCTTTTTTGGGTGGGGGCTGCTCAACGAGACAGACTTTGACTCAGGCGCCGGTCAGTCACCCCATGGCCTTTGAGCTGGAGGCCGGGGAGGGAGAAATGGGCTAGGGCGCAGAGTTTGGCCCCTGCGGTGGAAAATAATGATGTTTGACTGGGTCCAAAGTGCAGGTTTCTAGGGTGTTTCTAACTGTTGAAAAGGTCATTTTGAGGATGTCACGTGGTTTTCCACAAGGAAACGATTAGTAACCCCCCGATTGAAGTTTTCCCCTTTTCCCTTCTATTGGTTCCCACCAATACTAAACTAAAGGACCAACAAGGTTTCCCGACAAAAACCATCCGAAATAATGTTTGGGCCCTCCCAGAAACCCCCCCCCCTGTGTTTGTTTTTCGGACCCATGGATCTCCATGCAACACCTTTTGGCTCAAGGCCTTTCATGTCACACACCCGATGTACATAGCTCACTGAGCCATCGCATCCGTGATACAAAGGTGCTAGCGGACCACTTTCAGAGTAAACAACAGCACGCAATCAACCAGGGCTAGTCCAGTATCAATCCATCAGCATTGACACTTGGACTCTCCGGAATAGACCCAGGGCCTAACACATCAAGATTCTCTACTACCATAAGGTATCGGTTCCCTTCGGGGATAAGATTCTCCTGGCAGTGGGCCTCAATTGCTCGGAGGGTCTGCGGAGCAGTCTCCTCGTGGCTCTAGTCCGTTAGACTGTTCAGGACTACGTAGTGCCTTGGGGCCATCTCGGGGAAGCGAACCCCGGACTTCTAAGATATGAGGTGGTCACGCCGCATCCTTCAGTCAATTTGTGGTAGTGGAGCGGGTTTTTTTGCAGAGATCCAAGCAAGATGTCATCCGATGGAGAAATCAATCCTGACAACATCAGCCGAGAACGTACAACAGAGATCATTGATGCATCCAAGGGCGGAGATCCAGACATCTTAGAAGACAATTGGAGACTTACAGCCCAGGCGCACAAACCAATGATCAACCTGTGGATAGGTAAGACCATTTTCACCTGCGCAGACAATCCGCTAAAAGATGAAGAATCAGGTTCAGGATCTGCAGCAGACAGGATCATCGACAAGAAAGGCCGGTCGACCGACGTCGCTACCGAATCCACCAGCGATTGTCAAAGCCAGAAGAGTTGAAGAAGCTCCACCTTCAGCATCGTCACATGACTACCGACCAATTTCGATTCAGAACCCGAGTGCTTCACTTGCCGAAATCTACCTACGACTTATTTGACAAAATCCGAAGTGAGTGCGAAGTTTGCCAAGCAGCAAAGCAGGCACCATCAAGAAGCAACACGAGTGGACTTAGAGCGGACACATTTGGAGACATGACATTCATTGATCATTGCCAGGTTCCTCTCGGAACTGGAGAACATTTGTCATCTTGGATGGAGCAACGACATTGCTCACTGCGGAGGCAGTGACAACCATGCAGGAAGTGGAGAACATCACTGTCCTCAGGAACTATTTTGACCAGTACCACTTGCAGCCCAGACCAGTTGTTGGAGATCAAGCCTTCATGACGGAAACATGGGAACAGTTCTATCACCCCTCAACATCACACCAATATATCGTTGGGACCGAATACACCATGGCCAAATCGAGCTGAAGCAGCAGTTCGAGTCCTGAAGGCGCAGTTGAAGATCATGCTCAACTCCATCAAGGCAGGCGCTGCACCTGCAACACTGAAGAAGGTAACACACCGACAACTTGTGAAGGCAGCTGCAACTGTCAAAAATCAGACCGTCACCTACGGGGGTGTAACACCTTTCGAACTCGCATTCGGACGACGACCAGCAGATCTCATCCAGCTTGATGTTGCAACTCCGACCCAATTAACGATTGACAGGAATGGCAAGCATTCCAAGAAGCTCGTCAATCCGAAGACATCCGCAGAGCAACAGAATTTCCGAATGAGTTCAAAACCTCTACAGGTGAATGACACGGTATTTTACTGGCAGGAAGACAAATCCAAGATTCGTTCCGACGGAAGCAAAGGAGGAATATGGTTAAGGGGAAAAGTCATTTCTCTGGAAGGAGCAGTGGTTGGACTTGACCTTGGAACCCGACTCTGGAAGGAAATGCTGGCGCTTTCGGAAGCAGGACTAAGTTGGCACAGGGGTGCCCTTACCAGTTCTGCCAGGATCTCGCGCACATCATCCTGCGTCACCCGAAGGTGAAACCGCTTGACAACGAAGTGTACCTTCTTGAGGACATCTTCGAGCTGTTCACCAATCAACAGATTGACCTTCTCAGGAAAGAACTGGAAGCCATTGACAAGGAGTTCAACATGACTAGCAGCAGCGACGCTGTTAAGATGCAAGACCTTCCTTTCCATATAAATGTTCCACCACTGGTCATCCAAGATTCGCCCGTCCAAAAGTTTCAGAAGACCATGAAGCAGTGCCCTCCGGGGACTGAAATCGATATTTTTCGACAGGATCCAAACGACTGGCGATGTCAGAGCATGTGGAATGGTTGCAAGAAGTTAAGACAACTGTGCGTCTCATCCACTCAGTACGATGCATGTGCAGCATATGTCCACGCAACTGGCATCAACACGCGTATCGCAGCACCTCCGGACAATGCATGCATCGCGTTGTGGCAACCCGATCAGCTGGACAGAACTTGGGTCTTGCCTGCGTCAAAATGCAATTGGGAAGATTACAATCCGAAGTCGTGGCATACAGTCATGCTTTCCTCCGTTCATCATGCGCCGGCTATCAAGCCGATACCGATTGAGGTGGATCCTTCAAATCTCAGATGAACCTCCTCAGCGTGACAACCAGCAGCCACCTGATCAGCCGGATCAAAAGCACTGGCGAAAGCGCGATTAAGCTGAAGTGGCGAGCGAGTCGGCCCTGTTGCGCCCGCAGGGCCTTTCGCGCGAAGCTCAACCGAAAGCTTGTGCCGCTCTAGCTCCGCTGGGAGATCCGGCAGCCCTGCATAGAGCAGTCCAGTGAGGTTCTTGCTGCTGTGACCCCACTCACACTTGCGTACCATTGCTGGATCTGAGGCAGGATCCAAGGTGAGGCGGTGCTTGGGTCGCTTGGACGGCCCGGGTGTTCCAAGAGGACGCCTCCCCCCACAAGCCAAACTGCGAACAGCACTAAAGAGCTACGCTGCAAAACGCGGTTGCTGAGCGCAAGCTCTGAGCACTGACGCGAAGAGAGCTCACGCAACCCCCAAAGTTGTGAGGCTCGTCGCAGCGCACGCGAGGTTCGCGGGGGGTCTGGCGACATTTGCTCAGCAACAGTTGACCAGGTATCGCTTGGCAAGTTGCAAATGCAAAGTTGCAAATGGCACCGAGGAAGAGACCCTTCTGACACAGCTGGTGTAAGATGCAAAGGACGTGTGGCTCTCCTGCATGTACATAGCATTGTGCATCATCTGTTGCTACAATTGGGTATCCGCAATGAGTACAGAGTTTTCTTTTCCATTTGCCAACAAAGACATTTCACCCGCGCCAAAAAGGGATGAATACAGTATTTTAATTCTGACAAGATATGTAGGTCCGCACATGGCTACGGCACACACTTGAATGGCTACGGTCCAAGGCCAAGAAGCCAATAGCAATTCAGTGCTGGAGTTCAAAAGAAATTTGTGTCTGTTGTTGTGTTTGTTTTTCGGACCCATTGATCTCCATGCAACACCAATGGCTCAAGGCCTTTCATGTCACACAACCGATGTACATAGCTCAATTGCATCCGTGATGCAAAGGTGCTAGCGGACCACTTTCAGAGTAAACAACAGCACGCAATTAACTAGGGCTAACCCAGTATTAATCCATCTGTATTGACACTTGGACTCTCCGGAATAAATCCAGGGCCTAGCACATCAAGATCCTCTACTACTACCATAAAGTATCGGTTCCCTTCGGGGATAATGGCAGTGGGGCTCACCCCCCCGCCCCAAGTAAGGGTCCCCCCTGACATCCCCCTTGCAAAAAAAAACCAGGCTGTTTCTTTTCTTGTGAAGGGGCTCCCAGCTCCAGCAAACTTGCCCCCAAACATTCCTGGTTTCCACAACAAATTTGGGCCACCGAATCAGCGGCCTGAAATGGGCTCTTGGCATCCCACCTCTGGTGGATGGCTTGCCGATGGTGCAGCGAGAGAGAGAGAGAGAGAGAGAGAGAGAGAGAGAGAGAGAGAGAAACCAAAGATGTCTTACACATCCTTGTTGCAAAAAACAAGTTTTTCAAGGTCACAACTGATACCCCCCTTCAAGGGCCAGCCCCCCCCCTTAAGAACCACCCTAAATTAATCAGGGGTCCCTAGCCCCCCTTAAAAACCAGGCTGGTTCTTTTCTTTTGAAAAGGCTCCCCTTTGAACAGCTCCAGAAAACTTGCCCCAAAACAAAAAATTGCCCCAAACAAACCATTTCTTTGCATATCCAAAGCAGCTCAAATCCATGACAATCCTCAAGCCTCAAGTCCCTTCATCCAGACCTGGAGTCATTAGGGGTGGATCCCCAAAACTTTGCTCCTTCCAAATCAGGAGTCCGTTACAGGTCTTTTTGACATTCGCCTCACAACCAGGGGTTATGGAACCGGCCATAGACAACCCCCGAGATGAGAGCCTCTTCTCCAATTGCTCAGGACACCGCGTGCGCAAATAGCAACGCTTCCTGGACCAAGTGGAGACATTGGAGCACTTGGGGTGCTTTGCGCCTGGGCGCGATTGAAGGAAGGAGCAGAGGGTTCACCCAACTTAACCCCCCCGGGCCCCCCCTCTGCCCCCGCCAAAGGCCACCAAAGCCGTTCGAGATCTGACTGTGGAATGGCCTGCTTTGTTTCGGAAAGCCGGGAAGGGGATTACAGTTCGGGGGGGGTGGGAGTCACTCTAGGGGAGCTCACGTTCCTGAAAGCGTATTCCCCAAAGTATATCATTCTTTGTGGTGGGATAGGTATGACCGCACGTTGGTGCGGGAGAGTGTCTCAACAGGCCGTAATTTCAATATTCGGTTCGTGCCGCAGCGTTTGCTTTTTGCGCATTACATTCGTGGCATCCAATCATTTGCTCTTGGCATTTTGCGGCCTGCAGCGCTGCTTTGGAAACGTATGACTTGGCCTGAGAAGTTTTTGCTCCCCGTTTCACTGGGTGCGCAGGAAGCATCAGAGTAACCAGATAAAGGGAAGCCCCGCAAGGCAACCTTTTTTCACTGGCCCAAAGCCGGCCTTTCGACCCTAGACCCCACAAAAACCTTGCTGGCTGCCTTCCCCGAATTCCCAGAGCGAGGCTCGACCGCGTGGTGGGCATTGCTGGCACCAACCGCCTCGCCGCGCTGGCGGCGCTGGCCCCCCGCGCGCAAGAATATACAGAGACAAGCCGCTTCGAGGGCACACACACACACACACCTCACACACACACACATGTCTCTCTCCCTGTCTCTCCCTACATATGTATATATTGATTACACACTGGAGATGGACGGATGGACGGACGGATGGATGGATGGCTGCATGCATGCACATATGTGAATGCGTCCACTGAATGCAGCTGCACGTGCAATATGTTTTTTCTGTCTACGTATTGGTTTGTATGTTTCCACCTGGTGGCATAACTCGAGGGCCATGGAAAAGGGCTATCATCCTTTTGGGGCCCAGAATGTTGGTTTTCACAGGTGGGCCCCCCGGCCTGATGGTTAGAAAGCGGCTGTTTGACCTTGACATCAGCCGGCATTCGGGTACTTTCTCGGGCGGAGCATTTGACCGCAGGACTCGGATCAGTCAACCTTGAGAAAGTCAGGGGGCGTCTTGATGCGACTGGGACACGCGAGACTAAACGCTAAGTTTGGCGCCGCTTCATTCGGCCGCTTCACGGCCTTGCATATGAGCTTCATCTAGAAATTCAGTTGGGGCCCCAAATAAGGCCCCCAACAAAAGCCTTGGCTAGAGACGATGCGAACCAACTCTGGCTTGAGGTGCTGTCAGGTTCAGCGCCCAAAGCCAGGGATGTTGCTCACCATGTCCTTGTAGAACTGGTAGCAAAAGTGGATACCCCCAGCTACTTGAGGTGTGCTTTGCTTTGGCCTATGTGTGCGAGCCTGGAAATGGCTACGCGGAGTCTTGGGAGGCATCCGATTTCTGCGGAGATCGCCAGAGATTGAAACTCATTTGTTTTAACCGAATTTGGTTTTCCAAGTTTTACATCACAACCTGAAAATCCCGGATTTCCGCTTTTGGAAGTTGTGTATGCCGAAAAAAATGCAGGGACCCCTTCAAACTGAACAAACATAGGGTCCCTTAAAAATAGACGACCAACAAACGCTGGTTGGAGGCAAACTTCGAAGTTCCCAACACCCTTCGAGACCAGAAGTTTCTTAGTGCCTGATGGCGGAAGGCATGTCATGGTCGTTTCCTTTGGTTTCCTTTTCACCTTTCAAAAGGGGTCCTCCATGTGGCGAGTTCTTTGCAGGCTTCGATTCCGCATGCAGTCCATGTGACCCGGTTCAAGTGAGTCGCTGGATCCGGGGTCTTGGGAGCCCTGTGGTTCGTGCCCTGGGTCAACGTCACAGCCAAAGGTACAGCTCAAAAGTTAGAATGGGGTTGTGGGGTGCTTCAACATAAACATGATAATACGGGTAAACTGGTTGTACCCACACCCCTGCAGACCAACATGGAGTACGTACAGCAGGGTGAAAGTAGTTGGCACAATTCCCTTCATGTGGCTCAGGAGATGGAAAAACACCCATCTACTTTCGCCCGATTGTATCAAGCATTGGGCTACAATTTTCATTGCAACCTTTTCACAGCCTGGTGGCGACCGTGAAGGCTCCAGCAACACATGGGTTCAAGCCATTTGTCGGGCTCGGTCAAACACCGGGCGGCCAGAACACGCGGTCTCTGAAAGCCGAAAACCGGAACGGGGTTCTGAGGACTCGACCGTGATGTCCTTTGTCATGTGGACCGGCGTGCTCATTGCTCTGCTGCTGTGCCTGCCCGGGCCGAGGCGGAGGGTAAGCTTGGGGGAAAGAGCGGGGAAGACACATGCAGGCACTTTGATTGGGGATCCAAGTTGCTTATTAGTTTGTAGTCCGAGGAGAAATGTGAAGCTACCCGCCTGGCAATTCCCTGGAAGCTCCCAGCATGTTGGTTCTTTCCCCGCCTGACCTTTGTTTTAGGGCCTCAACTGCCAGGACAGCATGGGCTTTGGGAAAAAAACACCAGTGGTGTTTTGGCCACACAGGGATCACCTGGTGGGAGAGTCGCATGAGTGGGGCGATTTGGTTTTTGGCCCAGCTGCAAGGTTTTGCAGCATAAAAGATGGAGCTACGCCAGGTTTGCACCAGACTCCAACACATGCCGTCTGCTTGGAGGCGAGGTAGCTCCTGTAGTTGAGTGGTTCGGTAGATCATTGCCCTTGACCAAAATGATGGTAGGAAAGACTTAAACCTTTGGTTTAGTGGAACGTTGACCAAGCAAAGTTCTTACATTTACAGAGCTTCTCAAAGTTGCTTTGGAAAACCCTCGAGGAGTTCACAAGTCCTGACAATCCCCTGAGTTTTTTGGTCACCAGCAGGAGTCAAGAGACCGCCCTCTGCATTGTGCTGCTTTGTTTCCGTCGGCCGTTGAGCCACCCCGGAGGCATTAGATAAAACCCAACAGGATGGCTTGAGGCTTGGATCTTCCATCACCCTTCAAGTGCTCTTGTCGCTTAGGTTTTTGTAGTAGGGGAAAGGTCACCAGCTGCTCGCTGCTCGCAGCTCGTGCAGGCAAGGCTGGTCCACGGTGCGCGCGATGCTGACGCCCCTGCTCGGGAGACTCGGTGCAGCTGAGATCCTTCTTTTTCCGGGGTCGATTAAATGACGGGTTTTGTGAGGGTTCCAGAAGGATTCCGGGGCTGTCGGGGATTCCGCTTGGACACTTTTCTGTTTTTTTTTTGTTTTTTTTCTTTTTTTTTTCCGTCAGGGCGGGGGAACAAGTTAATAAGGGTGTGTCTCTTTTTGGGGGTGCCCTGGAACCAAAAGGAAACCCGCCTGTTTGGATGGGTTCCCTCAAACGCATAGGTCATAGGTCCCTCAAAGTGGTTGCATTGTGTGTGTGTGCTTTTTTTTGGGGGGGTGAGAATTACGGGGGCTGGTTGATCTTCATATTCTTCATCATTTAGGGTAAGGGAGCCAATTCGGTTGGAAAGCCGCACCTCCGGACACTTTCCAGCAAATTTGTTGAGTGCACAGATTGCTTCAAACTCCCGTTTTTCTCTGGGTTTGGTGTGTGCGTGTTTTTGTGTTCGCCAAAGGGAGAAAACCGCTCCAAACTTTTCGGGGATTCCCATAAGATTCTCCCCGCGCGAATCGAAAGCTGAGGACGTTGCTGGTGGTCCAGGCCCAGTGTTGGATGATGCTGGCCGGGGGCTGAGAGCCGAGGGAGCCGAGAGCGCCATGTCTCGCGTGAAGCAAAAGCCGTTGGGCGGTTTTCCTAGAAGGGCCGTTCGCATTTCCCACCCTTTGGGCCGAAAAGAATCCAACCGGCCTCACTGAAGCAAACCTCCTTACCATTTGGGATTGGCGGTGTATCAACCAGTTGTTTTTTGGTCTGGTGGCCTGGCCTTGTGGGAAGCAAATCACCAACCTTCCTCAATTAATAACAAGGTCACGCCGCCACTAACGGCGCGGAGGACTTCACAACCCTGACAAACGCCCAATCAGGATTTCTGGACATGAAATTAACTACGGCATTGCTTCCTGCAAGCAATCACGCGTGTTGTGCCGCCATTGGTAATTATGCGAATATCGCCATCGCTCGGGATTCAGCCCGCCCTGCTTCTTAGCATGACACAAGGTGGCAGCCACCTCTGCACGTCTTTCCAAATGTTCAAAGATCTCGAGGCAAGATAACATTCTTGGCAAACTGCAGGCTCACAGAACTGAAGTGTACGTCATAGTCTTGGAGCCTTCGGCGGACCAGTCGTAATTAGCAAGATTCGATGACACACGCTAGGGAATTCAAAAGTCCAAATTCGGCCTGCGTGATACTGTGTCCGGGACTAAACTTGCGACTAAACCAGACAACAGCAGGCATCCGAGCAACTTGCGCCCCGTACGTTATTACCCCACCCCACCCCACCCCACCCCACCCCACCCCACCCCACCCCACCCCACCCCACCCCACCCCACCCCACCCCACCCCACCCCACCCCACACCCCACCCCACCCCACCCCACCCCACCCCACCCCACCCCACCAAAGTCATCGAGGCGTCGACCAGAACAGCGGGAAAGGCGGTGGGACGTGTTCGTATAAACATGTGCGAAATGCTTCGCGCCGTTAGTGGCGGCGTGAGCAATAACAACTTGCAAAGCCTAGCACACTACAAGGTGGCTAGTAAGCGTATTATATCAAACTCGCACCACATTGCTAGGCAATATGTCAACATCTTCGTTTCTGCGGCTTCATCCTTATCTTATCGCTCCGATCAGCGTAGATTTGGTCCATCCATCTGAACTAGTTTTGTGTTTCCTTTCTTTTCGGGAACCCCTGTTAAGTTTGGAACCCGACAGGAAACCAACCGTTTTGCCGGTCTTTTCATTTTGGCAGGCCTTTCATGCTGAAGTGAAAATAGATGGGATTTCCCTCTGGGTTCGGCCAGAGTTGCATGGGGAATGGTCCTTCCCAGCTGTTGGGGGCCTCTTATTCGAGTCGATTTGTGGGGTGAGGTTTCTTCTGTCTCAGGCCCAGGGCTGGGAGTCCATTTGAGGCCCTGACCTTTCAGAACATCAACCCCTCCCTGGAGAGCAGCGGTGCACAGATGGCGCTGGACGAGGATTCGACCAAGGGTCGATGTCCCGGGTCTGATTCAAAGACTTGGATTTACGGCAATCCCGCCATTGTCAGGGGCCCTCCCACAGGAATTGGACCAAAAGCTCGTGGCCTTGATAACCATTGTAGACTATAAGTATTAAACAAAATCTGAACATATGATTTTCTGTGTACTCGCGGTTTTGTGGGCCAAGATGTGTCAACATAGGGGGACACCCAAACTGGATTTCGGTTGCCTTTTGGTTTCCGTCCCAAAAAGGGTACTGAGCCTCAAAAAGCCCGCCCGCCCCACATGTGCCATGGAAATTCAGAGGAGATTCTTTTAAAATGGGCGGGTCTTGAGGAATTTCCGTTTGAAAGGGAAGTTTCTTTGGAGATTTGAAAGGGAAGGCGCGCCATTTTGGATTTTACCGAGTTTGGAGGTCCTATGACTCTCTGGCTGGTTGATTCACCCCCAAAAGTGGTTGGTGGCGGCATACGTCCATCCAAGGGTCCAGCGAAGTTGAAATTCATGCCAACACTGATCAGGGCTTGGAGGGAGGCGGGAAGGGCGGTTCTGAACGAAGGTGCAGTGAGCCAAGGTGCGTCAGAGAGAGGGCATGTGGGTGTTTCTCAGGATTGGAATCCGCAACGGTTCCTTTTGGTCTCCCTTTCAATACCAACTAAATGAGGGTGCACCATTTTGAGAAGCTTCCATATGAACCGGTGCGTGCTGCAGGGCAAAGGGTCAAGCCAGCCACCCTTCAGCACCATCTTTGATCGAAGTCTTTCAAAGTTGCACTTGGACAATTTGACAGGGCCAAGTCAATCTCCTCAATGCGGTGGTTTGCTGTGCTCAGAACATATTTTTCCCGAAAGCATGGCGAAGGGTTCTTCCGCTGGGTTCACTTGAGTTGTTCTCATGAGAGTCATTACAAGGTGTCATTGCAAGGAATCATCATCATGAAAGTCATGCAAGGAGTCATTGCAAGGAGTCATTGCAAGGAGTCATTGCAAGGAGTCATTGCAAGGAGTCATGGCAAGGATTGCAACTTGCACTTGACTCCTTGCACTTGCAACTTGCTTGACTCCTGCACTTGCAACTTGCACTTGACTCCTTGCACTTGCAACTTGCACTTGACTCCTGCACTTGCAACTTGCACTTGGCTCCTTGCACTTGGCTCCTTGCACTTGCAACTTGCACTTAACTCCGTGCACTTGCGACTTGCACTTGACTCCATGCACTTGGCTCCTTGCAACTTGCAATGGCTCTCATGACTCCTTGCAATGACTCCTTGCAATGACTCCTTGCAATGACTCCTTGCAATGACTCCTTGCAATGACTCCTTGCATGACTCCTTGCAATGACTCCTTGCAATGACTCCTTGCAATGACTCCTTGCAATGACTCCTTGCAATGACTCCTTGAAACAAGGGAGTCAAGTGCAAGTTGCAAGTGCAAGGAGTCAAGTGCAATTGACTTGCGAGGAGTTAAAATCTCTTCTGGGCGGCGGGGTAGTGCCGACGACACTACACGAAAATCGACCCTCTGCGGGGATCGGCGTGGTCGAGGTGCAAAAACCCATGGTTTTTTGCGATTTCTAAAGTTCCCGCGCGACCCTCTGCGGGGATCGGCGTGGTCGTGGTGCAAAAAACCATGGCGATTTCTAACATGCTCGCGCGACCCTCTGCGGGGATCGGCGTGGTCGAGGTGCAAAAACTTGAGGTGTTTTGCGATTTCTGCGGTGCTCACGCAACCCTCTGCGGGGATGATCGGCGTGGTGGAGGTGCAAAAACCCATGGTTTTTTTCGATTTCTAAAGTTCCCGCGCGACCCTCTGCGGGGATCGGCGTGGTCGAGGTGCAAAAGCCCATGGTTTTTTGCGATTTCTGCGGTGCCCGCGCAACCCTCTGCGGGAATCGGCGTGGTGGAGGTGCAGGTTTTTGCGACTTTTGTTGTTCGAACTGGTCCTCGGGAGTTGTCTCGTGGTTCGCGCGCCTGCTTCCGGAACCGGCGGGTCGCGGGTTCGATTCTTCCCTGGTCCGCGGGCGGGCGTCGCAAGATGCAACTTGCATTTTAAAGCAACTTGCGCAGAGCAACTTGCGCAGAGCAAGTTGCACAGAGCAACTTGCGCAGACCAACTTGCACCGACCAGTTTGCGCAGAGCGCCTTGCCTAGAGCAACTTGCGCAGAGCAACTTACGCAGAGCAACTTGCACAGAGCAACTTGCACAGAGCAGCTTGCACAGAGCAACTTGCAGGGAGCGCAATTTGCACAGAGCAACTTGCAGGGAGCCACTTGCAGGGACCAACTTGCCGGAGCAACTTGCGCGGAGCAACTTGCGCAGAGCAACTTGCACAGTGCAACTTGCGTAGAGCAACTTGCGCAGACCAACTTGCACCGACCAGTTTGCGCAGAGCACCTTGCCTGGTGCTGTCTCGCGCTTGCTTCACGAATGCTTCGCGTAGGGAAAAAGAACGCATCCTGCAGCGTTGGGCCGACCTCGCTTGCGATGTTCTGCTTTCGGGCCAACCGTGGTCTAGTAGTTTTTTGAGGTTGACTACATACGAACAGAATCTGATAATCTTATGTACCCGGAAACTGGGCCAGGAATTCCATAAAGTCTCGTATTGGTTTGACAACAGGCCATTTCACAAAAGCTTGGCAGGGTTGTGGGGAGGAAGCTGCGGGTTTTTTTGCCAGTACCATGTACGATTTCTTACGAAATGTGTAGAAAGGGTACCAGATGCCGGACCAGGAGAGGGCGCGGAGACGGAGGGGGAGAGACAGCGGTCCCTTTCTTCGCTTGGGGAACAAATAACCTGGGTGCCAAATAGCCCATAACTTTAAGTTCTACCAAAGGGAAATGTGGCGATCGATTCGGTCCAATGGGAGCAACCAAACTCAGTTATTTCAAGGACCGATGGAGCAGCTTCTGGCTGCTTGTGGCCAATTGCTCCTCGGCTAGCCATGAGACCTTGGCATTTTGGCTCACTAATTGGGAAGGCCATAGTTGAATGGCAAGCTACAGCAGTTTGGAGATGGGGGGAAGGATGCTGTAGCTTCACCCCGCTGTAGCTTCACTGAGTTGAATTTCACTCATCAAGGGGTGAATCTAAATTGAGTCAGAGGGGCTGACACCCCCACTAACGGCCTATTTTTTAGAAGGGGGTCAACAACACGGGGTCCCGATATTTCTCCTCGGGATGCTTCAAACGCCACCTTTTTGGCCCATGAGCTTCTCTTGGGATCGCTGTGTTGGGTTGGGAAGGTATCTGGAACAATGCACTAAGGTGTTCCGGGTGTTTCCCATTCTGAAAACACCTGGACTTGTCCCAAAATAGGGAACCGCCAAACAAGGGTGGTTTGCTTTTGGTTGCCCTTTAGGCATGCGCCCAAAAGTCGGGCGCCCTCATAAAAGTCACACCCACCTGGGGTTTCCTGGTATCACTGCCATCGAATAGACAGGCTTGTCCATCTTCTCGGCGGAGATTACTCGGCAGCAGGGCTGTTCGCTGGAGGCGTCCTCAAACCTGCAGGAAGAGGAGAATATGTTGGCCCCTCGGCAAGGGGCGCAAGAGGCGTAAGGGGAGCAAGGGGTGCGCAAAGGGGGCAAGGGCACTTGGCAGAATAGGATTTGCACATATTCGAAGGTTCACGGAACAGGGACCAGAATCAACCGTTTTGTTTTTGAAAGCTGCAACAAAAAACTGCGGTAGAAAGGTGAGCGAAGCCGAAATGACACCCCAAAATGGCTGAGGGGCTAGAGGTTCCGGAGTGGTCCGGAGCAGCTCTGAATGCCTGGTTCCGGGTTCCGGGTTCCGGGTTCCAGGGAGGTCCCGGCGGTTTCAAGGAGCTGTGGCGCGTTCGAGAGGGTTCCATGAGTCTGGAAGGATCAGTTTTGAGGGTTCCACGGAGGTCATTGATACTGTGGATGGACAAATTCCTGCACCACCTAAGAAAGCCTGGAATGATGATGCCCCTGTAAATGCCAACAAACACTTGGGTCCCACGATTGCCAAGTGGTGCAGGATTTTGTCCATCCACAGTAGGGTTCCTGCAGCAGGTCCCGTGTAACATTTCGGCCTCGGGTTCTCTGGGCCACCAGTGAGCGGCGCCGGGCTGTGTGGATAGGTCCGAAGTCCGAACTATGGGGTTTCTACCTACACCAGTCATCCCCTAGGCCCCTGGCCAATTTCTTGCCACTGACTTTGGATGTCATATGGGGCATGTTTATTTGAGCTTGGAATGTACGATTTGGTGAATAAAGTTGGGGCCATGAAGGACCAAGGGCCACATCCCTTCTACGGATAGACAGAACTCTGCTGGTTATTCAGGGGGTTTATCCCTGCGAAATAGTTTCTGTCAATCCACCGTTCCCAGAAAACTCGCAAACCCGTCCTTTTGACGCGACCCACCCTTTGTTGGAGTCAGTAACTGAATCCGCGGAATGTTGGCTTTTCAAAACAGTGGTCCCCTAAAATGGCCGGACGGTTGCTTCCCGTTTGACAACTACCAACCTAAAAAGGTTGACAAAGGACACCCCCGAATCAGAGTATTCCTGAACCAGTTGGTCGGCGGTTTGTCCCACTAGGGTTTCATCCATGTCAACTGGTAAATGAGTGGGTCTGGGTTTAGGGGACCCCCGAAATGGTGGTTTTGATTTTGGTTTCCCTTTGCCACACCACAGGAGGCACCCTCAACAAAAAGCGATGCATCCAAGAAAGGTGTTGGCAAATTTCAGCAAACCGGGCTTCTCCCATGAGGCATGGAGCATTTTCCGCTGAGTCAGGACAGGTGCTGCCAGTGCTGGCTCACCGCTGTGGTGCAGGACCTCATCCTGCAGGTCCGGGAGGGCATTGCCACAGGCGGGGGGTGGGGGGGGACCCGTGGACACAAGGGCGGTGGGGCGTGGGGCGCGGCGCCTTGGGGCGCCCCAGGCGGTTTAGGAGGTGCAGTGAGTTTTTGGACCAGTTGGGTTCCCAAAAATGCAAGAACTTGGGGCTGTTTGAAAGGGCAGCTTCCTTTTGGTTTGGAGCGGGGGGAGGGTTGTAGGGTGCCTCATGCGGTTTCTCTTAGAGGCATGCGGAGCTTGTCCAAACGAAGAGCGCGATTTGAGCCCGGTAATTTGGATTGGTGGCTCAAGGACTTGAACCCCTTGTCTTGTGGCTGGGGGCCACCCCCTTACCTTCAGAAACAATCCAAACTAGCAATTGAGGGAAGCTGGGTTGCAGTCCAAATGTTTTGCCGAGCTTGCCGAACAGGGGTAAAGCAAGCTGAGGTCCGGTGATGCAGGTCCTTTAGCGAGTCCTTGATTCTGGTTGGGGAATTGGAGTAGGGCTATTTTTAATGGCCCCCTTATTCACCAGAAGGGTTCCGTGTGATGCCCAATCCCAAGGGTCTCAGAAGGGGCTCTAGCTGTTATCCAGAGAAAGAGATCCCTTTCCAGGGCCAGTCTGCTTTTTGATGGAGCTCCGCCTTCGGCTCCCAAGCTGTCGCAGGCATAGCGCTCCACCTGCTGGCCTTCGGCAACGACGTCTACACCATCGTCATTTACTACTTGCAGCTTCTTGAGGCTGGAGGGCACCGTGCACCGAGCGCGGAGCATGCCGCACTCGGATAGCCTCCGAGAGCTCTTTCCCCCATGGGCTTGTGAGCAACAGATGTTGCGGTGTGAGGCAATGAGCAGTTTGTGCGTGAGTGGAACGTGTATGCTGGCAGGTTCCTTATCAGTGGCCCGTATGCCCGAGACCCCTGTCGTTTGAGAGGGTTCTCGCACATCTGTTGCCAGGGCATTTGTCTCCCTGTCGCCCTGCATGGATGGATGTGTCCCATGGGGGAACTCCTAAACTGGATGATTTCCAAAAGGCGGCTTCCCTTTTGGGAACCGCAGGCGTATGGAGAACTACTTTTACGGGTTAGGACAACCTTTCTCCAGGCTCTGGGCCCCAAAAAGTCTTGTCTTGGCTGCTTGATTGGATCTTTTGACATTTAAGCTTTTTGGGGCGATGAATTTTCGGATATGAACCAGCGAAGCGTCGAATACTTTTGGCCAGGCCCCATTTACGCGATTTAAATCATCCCTTTGTTGCTTTAGAGGGGCCCCTGCATGTCATTCCCAAACCTCAACGTGCATCCCTGCTGAGAACCAGCAAGTTCTGTAGTGGCAACTAGCTTTAAAACAGACCCCCAAAACAGGCCCAAGACAACTAGCTTAGCAACAGAGAGGGAGTAGCGACACAGTAGCGACGCAGTTTGTTTTCTTTGTGTTTCGTCTTAGAGCTGTGCCGATGTTTCTCTTTTGCTCCGCTGGCCTCGAGCACGCGCCCGGCCTCGCGCCGCTGGCCTCGCTCGCGGCGCCATGGTGGTGGTGCGCGCCTTGGAGCCGCAGGCCTGGAACGAGTCCGCCCCTGGCGCGCCATGGGGAGGACGGGCCGCCCATGGCAGGGCTGGGAGGTGGGAGGGGCGGGAGGTGGGAGGTGGGGTGAGGTGTCATGAAAATGAACTAGCAGCTAGCCCTGAAAAGAAGAGACTGGGGGGCCATGTTTCAGTGCACGTATTGGTTTTGCGGTTTTGAGTTTGAAATCTTGAGCAAGTTGTACGCTCACTTTTGCTCAAGAGTCTTTGCAAACTGCGAGTCTCAATCACTCGGCAGGGTCTACATGAATTGTTGTAACATGCTGCCAGCTGCTGTTGCTCATTCAAGCCAGGTATATATATATAGCTGCAATTATCTTAGCATCTTTCTGTTCAGTCCTGATTGGCAATAGAACTGATGTTGAATTGAAATGCAATGCAGTATGGAAAGACAAGCTAGTCGTTGCTTCTAATTCGCATGCCCCTTAAAAGGACTGAACAAACAATGGAAGCCCAAGGAAGATGCACATTATATTTTATTGGTTTCAATTTGAGTTGCACAGATTCAAGCTAAAACATATTTTGTTTAGAATTCAATTTAGAATGTTATTTTGAATTAGACTGAAACTAGGACTCCTTTCCAAGGATCTTAATTAGAATTGAAATGGAATATGATAAGGAAAGATAAGGAAAGACAAGCTTGTTGTTTCTAATTTGCAAGCCCCTGGAAAGGAGCGAACAACACCAGCGTCCCCGGTTCTGAAAAACAAACACCTTGAAAGAAGGCAGAAAGTGGTTTGCAAACTGGTGGCTGGGAACTGCAACAGGTCGCGCAGGGCGACCACAAACCCGACCTTGAAGTACAAGGGCTTCCAGCTTCGTTTGTTAGATCTTTGGCATTTTGCTTTGCCATAGGATGGTTTCCACCACCTCCAACCCATGGCGATTCAGACGTATGGCCACTACATAGCCTTGATCTAAAGGTTGCTCCCCTGCAAGTAAACACAACAAGGACTCCCCCAAAGCACTTTTATAAACAAGGTTCTTTGGGTTCCATGTGTTGAGGCGTACCGTGTACCCCCATGTTCCCCCGCGTTTCCGGTTTGGGGGGCTTGACCGGGTCCTTGTCCGTCCGCGCGTCTCGCAGGACAGTCCACGATTTGGGACGCCTACCGGGACTTGACCTTGGCAACCAAGGGCCGGTTCCAGCAGCCGGATCGCTTCAAGACCCGGCGCCTGGTCTTCGAGCTCGGCGAGAGCCCGGGGACCGAGAGGTCAGTCGGAGGGCTCGGGAGAGGTGAAATGGGTCCTTGCCTAGTCTGGCTAAGGACACGCAACGCGAACTGAGACAGGGTATGTCAATCTTCCTTTTGTGGTTTAGGGGTAAGTGGTGCACCATCTAACGGGGCATGTCAAGAGGGCAGTCAAAGCTCCTCAGAGGGTTGCCGAAAGATACGGCAAACACGCAGAAATAACAAACAGTGACTTTGTGCGCCCTGGTCTTTTTTGGGTCTTTGAAAGCCTTGGAATTGCTTCGTTCTGTTGAACAAACCCCCTCGGGGCCCGAAACCCTCGGGGCCCCTCCTGAAATCCCAAGGCGCGGAGGCGAAGGGCGAGGTGTCGCGCCCGGGCCCTGCGCAGCCCCGGTCCGCCACCATGCGGCGGCTGGTCCTGTGGCCGACGCCAACCTTCGACAGCTCCTGCTACAAGGCGATGCGCCTTGGCAAGGAACCAACTTGATTTCGGAAAGTTAGAATATACCAGGTTTGGATAGGATTTCAGGTTCAAACTTCAGTTTCAAATCAAGTTCTAAATGGTGTCACGTATTCCATCTTTAGAAGCGCTGCATACGTGTGTGTGTGTGTGTGTGTGTGTGTTTCTTGCCTGTGTGTCTGTGCGTCTGTGTGTCTATGTGTCTGTGTGTCTGTGTGTCTGTGTGTCTGTGTGTCTGAGTGTCTGTGTGTCTGTGTGTCTGTGTGTCTGAGTGCGCGTTTGGGGTACTATGATGATGTTGTGGTGAATTCCGCTGTGATCCGCTAAAATTTCGCGGCATTCTATCTCTACGGTGCGTTCGTCGTATGCAACCTATGCACTATTTTCAGTTTGTTTTTTTTGTCATGGACATGTTCTATCTCACACATTTCAGAACATATTCTAAAACTATGATTTCGGATTTTGTGCCATATTCTATCTTTCAGCACCTGACCGCAAACGAAACCGTTTGTTGAAGGTCTCCTCAGGAGTTTTGTTTTTCAAGGTTGAAATTGAATTCCAAGGCCGAGGCCGAGAGTTGCATCCCATCGGAGGCTCCACGTCTTCTCCAAAGTTGTTTGTTTTAATAGCCTCCGCCAAAAAATTAGAAGAACGCCCGCCGGCTTGCAATTTGTTGTTGAAATGTTCCGGGAAGGCTCCGGAAGCTTGCTGTTGGGGATGTCAGTAAAGATAATTTAGGGCTTAAAGAGACCGAATGGAGCGTGCCGTGGGGTTTTCGTTGCCGCAACTCATCCAGCGGAACTTCTACAACTGCGGAGCGATTGAGATTCAGCATGCAGGGGAATGCCGGAGCAATTGGAGTGAGGGAGGATGTGGGGAGCACATCCTAGGGTGTCACCAGTGATTTTCAGGAAAAGGGGACACCCCCAATCGGGTTTAACATGTGAACTTGCCATCCCCTTTTATAAGGTAGCGGCCTGCCTAGTAAACATCCTGTTGTCCAGCATCCGTGTTGGGAAGGGGGTTCCCTTCTAAATCAACCCGCAAAGTCTGCCCAGGTGCAGAGATTCGGGAGTCACATGTCCGAAGGAAATCCCGCAATCCCCTGTGGCCATATTTGCCAGGGGTCCAAAAGTCGAAAAGTGTCGCTTGCCTTGTGGCAGGGTTTCTCATCAAACATGACTTTCACCGTGAGTAGGGCAATGTTCATGTTGAATAGGGCAACATCCGCCAACCGTTCCATCAATTTTCGCCCACTTGAGAAATGATCAGTGTACACACACGTATATATAATGTGTTTCAGAGCCATGCGCGCTATATCTTCCGACACTTCAAGTGTTGCATGACTCAGACAAATGACAAATCAACAGAGCCCCCGCCGGCCGAAGGACTCAACGAAGCCCGGAGCCCATCCCGCCGCTGCCCACGGCCTACGGGCGCCTGGACGATGAGGTGCCTCAGCCTCCGCGCGTAGAGGAGGCAGGACCCACACCCGGTGCTGCCGTGTTTTTTCCGCTTCAACAAGCAGGGCTCCTTAAAAGATAGATTTTGCAACCATTTGAAAACATGGCTTTTTCCACCAAAATAAAGGGAAACCACCATTTACAAGGCAATGTTCAGGTGTATAATGTGAGGATCACTGACAAGGCAAGTGAAGTCCATATTGAAAGGCCGTTGGCAAGCAATTCGTCAGAAAGACACCTGACGGTTGTGACAGAACAAGAATACACAGAATCTGCAGATGCACCCAAATTTAAATAATTCGGAATTCCACAACCCCTCCCTTTTGTCGCTTAATTTTGGAGGGGGCCCTTTAAATGAGTGGTCTGGGCATGAGAGGTCGAACGGTCCTTTTCTGTCCGATCGGTTTTGCGGAAGGTGGTATTGGTGTTTAAGGGTTTGAGGTAATGTATGTGATCTTTTTTTTCCCCATCCCCTCTCTCTCTCGCTCTCTTTTTTGAGTGGTATGGGAGAATACATGTATATACTATAATGTAAATATTATAATATATATATAGATATATGTATGTCGTTGCATCTTGTTTCAGAGGCTCCCCGTGTTGGGCTTGAACCCCCCAGAGAAAACAAAAAGCAAAACCAAGGAAAAACGGCCTGCGCTACCTGGAGATGAAACCCAGTCTGCTTGAAGGATACCGACTGGGCAACAAAATCATCCCAATACGACCTGATTGAGAGGACCCCCTTTGAGCATAGGTGGCTTGTGGATGTCTCCCGTAAGGAAACTGGATTGACGCTGGTTTCCTCCCAAAGTGACACCCAAGTCGACCAGCCTTGTGAAGACTTTTGTTCGGAGTTGCTGCGGCGCGCTGCGCAAGAATCCACAAGCCTCAACGCAGGCCAAGGCCAACCAAGAACAAACACATGCCTGCTGTTTGGAGTTTCCACTCGGTGTCCCATTGTTTTCAAGCACCACTCCCAACCTCAGCTTTCCTTCAATTGGTGGTTGGGATTGGTGGTTAGGCCAAGGGTTGGTTTCGTCTACCCTCCGCAAAAACCAGGGCTTCAAATCCAAGTCACCAATCCGCACCATCCAGTTGGGAGGCAACCCTACCTTTGTTTCACACCCTTCCCCTTGTTTGACCTGTTTCTTCCCTTGAGATTCCGGCAAATCTCCAAGTCCAACTCCAATCAGCTCATTCCAACTGCAAAATCCAATCCCAGCTGAAATCCGCCGCCACGCCCGCCTGGCTGTCGATCGCGCGCGCGAGGTGCCGGAGGTCTGGCGCCGCGCCGCCTGGTCCTCTGGGCCGGGGGTGGCCCGGGCCAACAGCTCCAGCCCCCGCTACGCGCCCCTGCGCTACGGGGCGGCCATCTTGAGGCCCGGAGCTTCGGGGGGCCTTCGGGGGGCCTGGGGACTTTTGGGTTCAAGAAGGCCCTTCAGCTTTTGCGAGCGAGGGCCGCTTCAGCTTCAAAACAATAAGATGGCCCTTGGGCTTGGCCGGTTTTGAGGAAAAGAGACGGAACACGCCCTGTACTGGTTGGTGCTTTGTGGGTGAATTGAAGGGAAAAACCAACATTGGAAGTCTTGTTCGGGGGGATGGGTTCAGGGGGTCCTTGCATTTTTCTTGGTTAACGGGCACTCTGCACCTTTGGTTTGGTTTGGTGTCTGTGGCGGGCTGGTTTTCTTTGGGGCAAGGTGGTTTAACAAAGGCTACGGGATGGCCTTTTTGGGGTTTGACACAAAGGGGTTAACATTTAGTGTAATATATGTGATTAGGTTAGCCTCGTTCCTATCCATAGACAATATTTGTCAAGCTGGTGACAGTTTCAAGATACCTTCTGATTTGCCTGCCCGGTTTTTGCTGATAGGTTCATGCACCTCAATTTGATCTTCACAACTTGACCGCCTTGGGATCCGGAAAGCCTTGATTGACGTGTCGAATTGGTTGGTTCCAAGACTTTGATCCTGGGGGGTTAAACCAGCAGGGGGGGGCAGGGACTTCTCACGGACTGCACTCCATGAAGCCTTTCTTTTTCAGTCAAAGTCAAACACCAGTACCCGTCGAAGATATTGGGGAAGTCTCCTGGACTCCATTTGTTGTTCCCTGCCCGAACGAGCCTTTGCAGGGTTTCATTTTTTGGGTTTCCTTTGGGAGAACCACTGCCATTTGCGTCTTGCGTGTAATTCCGAGAACATGGAGGAACCCATGGTCACTACATTACGTTTTACAATTCTAGGTCCCCCAGTAGGGCCCTTTTACTTTTTTTTTTTTTTGGGGGGGGGAGGGTTCCCCTACTAAAATAGACTACAGAAAAAAGTTGGTACCCTTATTCTAACCTCTCCACTGGAGGACCTAGAATTTATCTGGCCCTACCCCTAAGTCCCCCCAGCTTCGAGGCGGCCTTCCACTGCCAGCGGGGGAGGGGGCAGCGGGGCGTCCAGCCGCAGCTCGCACCTGCAGCGCTCGGCCTCGCAGCAGCAGTCCATCTCGGCGCCCAGCCGCTCCGACGGAAATCGGGGGCGAGTGAGCTGCAGGTTTGGTCATTCAAGTGTCCCATGGTTGTTGGGAAACACTTTGCATTTTTTGCTTTTTGTGGTTTGGTGGGAAACCCCCACGTAACTGCTAAAATGTAAATTATTGTTCCCCTTCCAACGCCAACCAAGCCATTGAGACCACTAGAGGTTCGATCAAGAAGTGATATGAGTGTCTATTTGGGAGAAATGTCCCATGTCCACGTGGGGAAGCAGGTACTCTTGAGCCATCTTGAGCCTGGCTCCTTAAACCTGGGCTCTCAACCTGCCCCGAGAAAAGCGATGTCAGCTTGGGCAATATGCGGCAATGTCCGATCCTTGTGGGTAGTTTTCTGAGGGTCCAGGAACATTTTGTTACAAAGTTTAAACCACAATTGTAGGAACGACCTCCTTTCTTTTCGGGGTCCGGAAAAAACACTTTGCTCAAGCTTGCTGGCAGAGCAGCCAGACAAACGAACTAAAGGGTAACTGGGGGTCCAGTTTGCGCAACACGCTGCCGAATTCACTGTGTTGATTGTTGCCACAGCCAAAGGCACTACACTATATCTAGATCTTCTCTGCCCGCAGCTGAGGTAAATGCAGCGGGAGGAGTGGGGCGACGTCAGGGAAGTCGAGCGCGAAGGAGGCGAAGGTTTATGTGGACTCTCCTCCACTCGAGCTGATTCCGCCATGCATGCCACAAGCCGCATGACTCGCGACCGGTCTTTGGCCTGACCTCCATAGGACAGGTAACCTTGGTTTCTTTGGGAAAATGCTTGCCCTGGCCAGGAAAAAGCTTAAGTGTCTTTCATCTCTGTGGCAATGGTGGTTGTCCCAGTAACCGGCAAAACAGGCAAAATGCTTAGCCTTTCATCTTGGAAATGGTTGCCGCCCCAGAAACCGGCAAAACTTGCCAAACGGTTTGCCGATCAAAGTGCGGAATCGGGCTTGGGCCAATTCCTGGGACGTCGACAGCTGAATGGCTTGAAGGCGCTCCCGAGCTGTAGATAGCATTTGCACGAAACACGTGCAGCATGCGATGAGCTGCAGGGTCTACCACGGGTTCAGATTCTTTCAGGCGGTGGGAACGTGACCTTTTCGGAACGCATGTGCGCGTGTGCCAGCCCCCCCCCCAACAAAAAAGAAGAAGTAATTAAAGGACCGGATAATCCCGCACGCAAAGTTTTTGCAGCAAATTGACCTAGCAGCGTGGAGAGAAAGAAAGAAAGCAAGAAGAAAAAAACGAATGAATGAATGACGATGCTGCTGCAAGCCCTTTCTTGTCGCGTATTTGTGTCAAGCGGTTCCCAGCCATCTCATGTCAGGATCAGCTGGATGCGCAAGAAGAAGCTCCCATGTACAATGGGAGTGAGATGAGCGAGAGCTGAGATGAGTGAGAGTGGACAGCTAGCAAGTGTATATCGCTACTTCCTGTTAACGAGTCCGCGCGCAGTGTAACACCAAATCCCGCCCCTGCCACGCAATCCTACACCCGTGCTCACCAAACGCTGCCCCTGCCACGCAATCATAAGCCCGTGCTCACCAAACGCTCCCCCTGGACGCCAAGACACCGCCCAGTCACAAAGACACAGTGCCGCGCCTGCCACGCGCACAGCGCAACACCAAGTCCTTTCAATCAACACCGAGTGGGTGAGTGGGTGAGTGGGTGAGTGGGTGAGTGGGTGAGTGGGTGAGTGGGTGAGTGGGTGAGTGGGTGAGGGGGTGAGTGGGTGAGTGGGTGAGTGGGTGAGTGGGTGAGGGGGTGAGTGGGTGAGTGGGTGAGGGGGTGAGTGGGGTGAGTGAGTGCGGTGAGTGAGTGGGGTGAGTGTGAGTGAGTGAGTGAGTGAGTGAGTGAGTGAGTGAGTGAGTGAGTGAGTGAGTGAGTGAGGGAGGGAGGGAGGGAGGGAGTGCGTGAGTGCGTGAGTGCGTGAGTGAGTGAGTGAGTGAGTGAGTGACTGAGTGAGTGACTGAGTGGGTGGGTGGGTGAGTGAGTGAGTGAGTGAGTGAGTGAGTGAGTGAGTGAGGGAGAGAGAGTGAGTGAGTGAGTGAGTGAGTGAGTGAGTGAGTGTGAGTGAGTGTGAGTGAGTGTGTGTGAGTGAGTGAGTGAGTGAGTGAGTGAGTGAGTGAGTGAGTGAGTGAGTGAGTGAGTGAGTGAGTGAGTGAGTGGGTGAGTGAGTGAGTGAGTGAGTGAGTGAGTGAGTGAGTGAGTGAGTGAGTGAGGGAGTGAGGGAGTGAGGGAGTGAGGGGGGGAGGGAGTGAGTGAGTGAGTGAGTGAGTGCGTGCGTGCGTGCGTGGGTGGGGGGCGGGCGGGCGGGCGGGCGGGTGGGTGGGCGGGCGGGCGGGCGGGGGGGTGGGTGGGTGGGTGGGAGGAGTGAGTGCGGTGAGTGAGTGGGGTGAGTGAGTGAGTGAGTGAGTGAGCGAGCGAGCGAGCGGGTGAGCGAGTGAGCGAGTGAGTGAGCGAGTGAGGAGGCGGGCGGAGGATGAGTGGTAAAAGTAAGAACCCCACACGGGAGAAATCTTGTGGCTTTCTTTCTGGTGAGCCTTGAGAAGCACCAATGACAGGCGAAACAACACACCTATCAGACAATGGGACGGCAACACAGACCCTGTTTGGCAGCAAACCCCACCCTCCAAGAGGCTGGGGCTGCCATGTCGCGAAGAATGCCTCCTAGAAGCCGAAGTGAGCAGGGCTGACTCATCTGGCATTTTTGTATCAGCTCAGTGGCGCCCCGTCTTTCTCTTTTTGTTGTTTCGCCACCAAATTGCCAGCCCCAAAATCCCAGGATGGCAGAAGGGTGGCGAAACGCAGCATGACCCACAGGGGTCTGCTCTGCCTATGGGTAGGATCCATAGCCGGGTGGGAGGGCTTGACAGGAGCTCGGAGTCTTTAGAACAAAAGGGCTCAAAGCTCGGTGCCCTTTTCAAGAGGACGCAAGACAACTTTGCGGAGACAATACCATGATGGGCAGAGTTGCATGCGAGCCTTGGCTGATGGGAGGCATGAAGCAAGGCCCGCCGTGGCTTGCTGCGCGTTTGCGGATCTATTTTTCCACCACTTGGCCGCCTTAGTTTGGCTACGCAGGGGGTTATAAAACCGACTAATCTGCCTAATTGGACCCCCCTGAATTACCAAACCGAGGTGGCCAAGCATGGGCGTGACCGGCACTGGAAACACATGTGGTTTTTGTGGTTCTTCAAACCCGCTCCAGCTTGGGGCTTGCCCCCCGAGCAGCAAGAACGCAATTGGCAATTGGTATCCGAACGTTTCTCAGGACCAGAACCCTCCACAGGCCACGTCGAAGGATCGCCTGCCTCGCTGACTGGCTGTGCAACCATGGCCGTTCGCATTGCTGTCGCTCCCGTGCGAAAAAGGGGGACACCGGTCGGGCTTGTGTGACCCCAAACCTTGGAAATCCATCATGAATGACCCGATTCTTTATCTTTCAGGTTGTGCTTGGTCTTCTCCACTGCACTGTTGTTAGAGAAATGCACCCCGTTTCAGCAGACTGGTCTGAAGCGGGCCGTTGGTTTGCTCCACACTTTGAGGACCTTCCGAGGCAGCAGCAAGGCCTCGTGTGCCCCCCCCCCCCCCTCAACAAAACCACAAGAAGTGAACAGGGTGCGTGAACCAAGGAAACCTTCCCAAGCCGGAAAAGAACTGCCAGGTGGCCTAGACATAAGCCAGCATCAACAGCTTCTTAAGAGTTTCTACATGTACCAAGTGACTTTTAGGTGTATAATTGAAGGGATACTTTGCATGACAGCAAGTTCATCAAGGTTTCCCTCGCGCAGGTCACGTGCGAGGTTTCAGCCAGCTAGCTAGGGCTCAACGGCGTAGAGTCGTCAGTTGCGACTGCGCCAACCACAGCTCGCGAAAAGCCATTGTTTGAACCTTGCATGATGCCATGGTTGCGGCACATTTGGCACAGTAAATCGGAAAATGCCTGATTTGGTACTACGCAAGGGTGGACCTACCCACAACATTCCACAAGCTTGCGTGAAGCCCATTGCTGGATTGTCAAGGGACCCTACCTAGATGGGTTCTAATAAACTCACCTAGATTGGTTCTAATAAACTGGTTCCAGCTTGCACCACAGGACGGTCATGTGCGCAATTGTCATCCGAAAGCAACCCATTTTTGGAGTGTCATTCAGCTTCTTTGGGTTGAGTCTAATTGGTGGTAAGGGGGACTGGTGTCAACGGGCTGGCCCAAAGGCGGCCGTCAAACTGTGGGGAACCTGGTGGACATGAAAGTCCCACCGAGGGGCCACTAATTGACTTCAGGCTCATTTGGTGGTTGGCGGTGACAACCTCAACGCGCAGAAGCAGACGCTGATTTTCAGCACGCTGCTGACGGGCTGCGTGTCCTTGAGCATGCAGCCCGGCCATGCAACCGACAAACTTCGCCCAGGTCCTCTAAAGAACCACAAAATCATAGAGTAGACTAAATCTGAAAACATGTTTTTTGGGTGTACCCCGAAGTTGGGGCAAGAGTTGGCCTGTGGATGTTTACCATGTTGTCCGTTTTGTGTGATTTCCAGGGTCACATTTTTCTACCTTTCGGGCCGTTGAGGTGCGGACGTCAGTCCTAAATCGGACTAGGCCCCTTTTTCGTGCCAGCATTTGATTTTGACTCGAGTGTATCCAGTTTCTCCTGGTAGCCATTTTCCAGCGAGCGGTGCCTCGAGCAGTGGCAATCTGCCGGCGCCACCCTTTTCTCGGTTAGGAGTCCTCATTGTCACAAGTTTGTCATGGGCTCAGGGAGAATTGCTACCGGCAAGTGACTTCTGCTTCGCAGCTTCAGCCAATGGCAACACCTCAGCAATCCTTCTGGGAACCACAGGAGCTAATCAACCAGTGTTCCTGCACGACCTGATTGCTTTCATTTGGTCGGGTGATAGATACAGGAGACACATGGGTGCGCTCTTTTGTGGGTACCCTTGCAGGGTAGTTTTAAAGGACAACCAGGAGGAAATCAAGTACCCCTTTTTAAGACAACTCCGGTGACCCCTTCACTGGCACGGAGTCGACTGCCCTCGGCGAGCGATGTGCCATGGCCTCCGCGGTCTTGGTGCGGAACGGTCGGGCTGGCAAGCCTTGGCTCAGCAAGCACGAGCCTCGGCTCGTTACCTGGAAAAATACAACAACATCTTGTTTAAAAGGTCCCTGTGGACTTCCACGTGGGGGGGTGCACAGGACGCAATGTGTTCATCTTTCCCACGAAGAAGGTTGAAGTAAGCCATCAATACATGCTCGTCTTAACTGGTTCCAATGTTCAGGGCCCTAAAGGGCCCCAAACATGGTGCCAAAAGGAACTCTGGGCACCCCTAGCCTAGGACGCTAGGACTCGGATCCAAGGAGCTGCTGCACAACTACTCTGGTGCCTACACCACGGCACGCACGGTGAAGCGAAGCGCCGTCTTTGAGCTGTCCATGCACTGCCAGAGGCGGTGGGGGACCGCAGGGTTTCCTCCATTTCCGCTTCTGGAACTTGGACAAGTGGCAGTTCAACCGGAACCATCAGGGGCAAGGGACGCAGCCAAGGACCAAGCCGGGCTTGAATTTCATCATTTCCTGCATGCGGTGAATTTGAATTGGGTGGAAGTGGTGTTTCAAGGTCTCACCAGTTGTTCCGAGAATATGACCCTTCAGCCGAAAGGTCGGTCGATGTTGATCCTGCAAAATGGGATGGCCATATTCATATGGCGTCAGCCAGCCCTCGACACGAAGAAGAAAGGGCACTGCCCATTGAAACAGGCCTCAGGGGAAGGGAGTCCAGCGCATGCGATCGCATTCAGGGGAAAACGCAGCCAAGATTCGTACAACCTCCACCCCCTTTGCAAAAACCTTCCTGTGCGGAACAATCTTGGGGTGCGTGCACATATTTCCCTTTGCACTATTTTTTTAGTCATTCGTACTACCCCCCCTCCCCCTCCCTGGAACAGTGCCACCAGTCGTGGGGACCCTCTTTAGCAAGAAAATGAGGGTTTGGGTGGATTGTATTGCCATTTTAATATTGCGCTCCCCCCGTTGCGCGACAGTTTGGCCTGTGTTTTTCATAAACTGATTTACTTCAAAATTGATGGTTTGGGACCACTGGGAAGGACTTAGATAAACCTGATGGTTTGGGACCACTGGCGAGTAACTTAGATAAATCACCGATTAAAAGTAAGAGGCCGCTAAGGCTTTGACATATTGTTAATTGTGTGTTTGTTGCATGGATGATCGGTTTCTTGAGGTCAAGATGCCTCAACTGAGACTGTGCCAGTTTCTGCTTTTGGGGAAAAATGCCCCTTACATGTGCACATGTGAGGTTCGGTCAGGGAATATCCGGCAGTCTATGGCTGATTTGAGCAGAACAGCGCCAAATGTCCCACGAAAGCCAGCGGACGAGCTGCAACTTTGCCATGTCATCTTGGCGCCTTCGCAAAATTTTCGCCGCACACGCGGGGTATATAGGGGCTTAAGGGGAAGCCAAAAGGAGGCGGTTGAAACACCATGTCTTCCCCCTCAAACCCCAAACCCCAAACCCCAAACCCCAGCCCCCAAACCAAAGCTGTCGCCTGGCTCGCCAACGGCAGGCTGGTGGACACGGCCAGCAGCGTGCTGCAGCGCGCGGAGGCCTCCGAGAAGGTCCGCCGGGCCCAGCGGTTCCTGGAGCTGGGCCCGGAGGCGCTTCGGCCGGTGGCCCGGCGAAGCGATCTTCGCGGGGTGGGGGGGTGGGGGGTCCCCAGAGCTCCGGATTTGGCTGTGGGTCAAAAATGGGTGCCGGACATGGAACCCAGCTGCGGTTTTTTGGTGGTTCAATTTTGACTCATACCCGGACGGTGGATGACACCTCAGCAAGATGCGGCACGGAGACAGCACTGTGCTTTTCTAGTTGGCTCAAGCGCAAAGCGGGGGAGGGGTGTTGGAGAGGAAGGGGGGCACCCTTTTTTGAGTGGATTGCAAGGAAATGAAAGGGGAGCTAACGACGGAGGCAGGTTTGGGAGGAGGAGAGGGGGGCCCTAAGAACATGGTGAAGAGAGTCATGGGATTGTTGGTTTAAAGGAACGCAATGGTCAAGCTACAGGGCGGAGGGTTACAACACCCAGTACCCTCTATTTATGAGGCTTACATCCCCTTTTGAGCTCGCTTTGGAAAGCAAACAAAGGGCGCAGAGGCGGGAAACGATTTGTTGGACATGTTTTGATGGATGTGGGTAGGCTCAATCCCTAGCACCAACCTGAAGCACGGTGGGGGCTGGTCTCGCGCAAAGAAGCCAAGAAAGCGGAGGTTGACCCGTTTAGTTTTAAGGAGGACTGTTTGGGTCTAACCGCACCTGTTCTGTCCATAAGAGTGTCTTTGTTTAGGCGACCACTCCCTAAAAAATAACCTCACCCCAAAAAACGGGAAGTGAGTCCTTCTCTGGTTTCCCTTTAAATCAACCCCAAAAGGGTACCCACAAAAAAGCATATTTCCTTCGGGACATATCTTTTACATCTCTTTTTATAATCTATCTCTTCTTCTATTCCTGGATTTCTTCGTTAATGCGATTGTACCTAGGATAAAGACAGTATACCATGTAATCTCTAGTTATCTCCGGTGATGGGAAGAGAAGAGACCCATTCACCTCTTCCTGTCTTGTTCCTTGTCACACCTGTCTCTCCCTTGGACAGGTTGGTGACAGGAAGGACAGGGAAGGCAAACCGTAGATTTGGAGTACCTCCGGAATGGGGTCCCCGGTGCTTTCCCTTGAGGTGTTGAGGTCGGAGTGTCGCACCGCGCTGCAACATTTGGAGGAGGAGGGCGATTTCCAGATCACAATCTTGCTCCTGAGTTGCAGCCAAAGCGATGGGCCAAACTGGCCTTTTGGGGTTTTCCCACGTTCAGATTTGGCAATTTGTGTTTGGCACTTTCAAGTTCTCCGACTGCGGTTTTGACCTTCTGCGGCTCCCATTTTCGGCTTCAAATGCTTAGCCGTCTTTTGTTTTCCAATTTGGGCTCCGATGGGTTGCACTTTTGGCCTTCGCCTACAGTCAACGATTGGTACCTTATGGTACCCTTACATCCTTTGCCTAAGACCAAAAATCACGGCAGAACCGATTCGACAGCCATTTGATCATGGTTCGCAAAAACCAATGGCACCATTTTGGGATAGGTGCACCACCCGTTTTTGTCTATTTTAGGGGGGATCGGGGTTTTGACCCATGGCCATTTAAGACCTATAGGTTTAGGGGTTGACTGACCAAGCGTCATGTGAAGCGAGGCTCACCTGCGACACAGCCAGTGAGGAGGACGAGCGGGGCTTCGACATGTTCACCTTTATGCAGCCCCTGCCCTTCGTGGAAGCTACTGTGGAGGTGGAAGCCCACCGAGCGGACAGGACAGATTTTCTTCCTCTCAACTTTGTAAATAGATGTATGTAAGGTATATATTTGTATGTAATTTGGGGTCTAGAGGCTTTTCCAATCTGAGCCAGATTCTGAACATATCGTTTCTTTGTGTACCTAAATCTGGGAGGAGCAATCCCACCATCAAAGACGTGCAGTGGGTAAACGACAGGCAGCAGCTGGAGGAGATCATCCAAGGCCTGGGGGTCCACATCCCAGGCCTGGGGGTCGTTTTCTTGTGCCCGATCCAAGGGAACGCCGACATTAACGAGGTGGTGATGTACGATGCTCACGGCTGCATCACCGAGGGCCTGCAGACCAACTTCTTCGCAAGCCGGGCGGGCACCTTATTTACGGCTCCGGACGAGCGTGTCTTGTCCGGCACCGTGCGAAAGGTGGTTCTCGACGTCGCGAGAGGCCCGGCTTCTATGGCACCCTTTTGGCACTTG